AAGGAGGGGCCGCGGGGCTCTTACAGCGGCTGCCAGTCACCAGGGAAACACAACAAACAGGCAGGGACGCCCGGACCAGGCTTTTGGCCCCAGGATCTTCATCCATCAGGGGGCACTTTGCCTGAGTAAAGAGGCTGCAAATCGCCCTCACCACGGAGCAATCCCCAAACACCACAACCGCCTGCAAAGCTGAGGAGCAGGGACGCCCCCTCGGACCGCCGCAGCACTTACGTTGATGAGGGCCATGATCCAGAAGGCGTAGGAGACGCGCGTGACCACCATGCCTTTCATCGGCAGGTCGTAGTGAGACAGGTTGCCCGGGTGGTGCGGGACCAGGGACTTGCGGATGTGAGGGAGGTTGCTGGAGGCGTTGGCCGTGGAGTTCGAGAGGATGCAGTTGGTGTCCGAGAGGAAGGGGTCAGCTATCAGCGGGCTTAGCAGCGCCCCAAAGCCCACGAAGAAATGGAGGGCCTGCAAGAGATGAGACACTGTCATCACACAGAGATTTACTGCTCTTCTCTGCTGAGCCCCTCGCTCCTCTTCCTCAGAGGAGGAAGCGCAGCCAGAGGGGAGACACACGCTCCATGCTCACCTGCAGGAAGATGGCAGAGTCCTTCTGGTAGATCTTCACCAGCTGCATGTTGGAGATGGTGTCGATGCACCCCATGGCCAGCCCTGCCACGGCCATGACCACAGCCAGGACCACCACATTGTGGCACAGCGGGATGATGGCAAAGACCAAGGAGATTGCCAGTGACAAGAGGAAAGACGGGGCAGAATTACTACCACGAGAGCAGCATCCACACCACAGCCCTGCCTCCCCTTTTCAGCCCCAGGTCAGTCAGTGGCATCGGCATTAGCAGGAGATGCACACACAGGCTCCAACTAACGCAGCTCCAGCTGATGAGGGGGATGCTATACCCCTTGCACCCCCCATGTCACAGCCACAGCCAGTGCAGGGCACTGCCACCTCCTGTGCGGATGGCGATGCCTCAAAGAGGTAGATTTTCCACCCAGCTTTTGTGGAGAGGAGCAACCATCCCTTCAAACCCACGTCCTGCACTTTTCAATGCAGAAGGCAGCCTGAAAACCCTCCCTTGTTAACTGGGTGGATCTGGGAATGGAAAAGGACACAGGGAGGTGCAGGTGAAGCCACACCATGACTTCTGAGTGGCTCCAGAGCGTTTCTCATTCAGTGCTGTAACCCACAGGCAGGCATGAGAGCCGCTGGGTAATCCCAGGTCCTGGCAGGGAGAGATTTGCTGTCATCTCAGACCTGCCTGCATGTGCCGTCCTGCCCCCCTCTCCATGCCCTGCACCATCTCTGTGCTGGCAGCACCGTCCCTGCCCCCAGCAGGATGTCTGCTGCGGGCAGCCGCTTTCCAGCCCACGGGAGAAGCCCGAGGGACGCGTGCGGTGGAGATGAAGCCGGTGCAACGCATCCCGGCTCTGGCAGCAGCGCGGGCAGGCCCGGCGGAGTGGGGAGGCCGCTCCCGGTGCGAGCCAGGCGGTAGCCAGCTCGCTGGAGAACGGCGCCCAGGCTGGCACCGCGCTGCCGCGGAGCTGCCAAGTGGAGAGAGAGGCAGGAAGGAAGGAAGGAAACAGGGACCAGACAGCAAAGCACTGAAACCAGCAGAAAGATGGAACTGTAAAGTCACAGCAGAGAGTAGCACAGGCACGGGCTCCCAAACCCGTTGCAGCAGCCAGCAGCTTGCAGCAATGAGTCGTTAATTAGCAATTGGGGATGTGGGGAATCGCCGTGTGTCACATCAAAGGCCTGGCAATGCACAGGGACGTCCCCAGCACAGACACGTAACCAGCCAGCAAAACACCTACAGCTCTGCTCCACACTCTGAGAGGGAGGAGAAGGCTCCGAGGAGCAGCAGAGCCCCTGCTGCCCTGCCCGCCGGTCCAGAACGGCCGAGCCTTGCCATGTCGCTGCGTTTCTGCGTGGCCCTGATCCATCTGCAAACCCAGGGCGATTTGGCCTCCCACGCCCTGCTGGTTGCTTACACTGCACTCCAGCAGCAAAGGGCGAGAGAAGGGCCAGGGGCACCTCTCGTTTGTCCTGCCCGGTGGCACAGACCCAGCTGTAACAGCACCTTGGTGCGTTCCCATCTCCCAGCCCAGCCTCACGCAGCCAGACCAATGTTTTGCAGAGCCGTAACTGCTGATCCTCCTCTGACAGCAAAACGAGGAGCCAGCGTGGGATTTCTGGGGGAGGGAGGTGCAAAGCGAGATGTGCGCAGTCACGGCAGGAAAAACACCCAGCAAATGGGAGAGAAGCAGCTTCAAGCCTGGAGAGAGGAGGCAGCACCCTCCAGGGTACAGCAGGAACCCAGCAGAGAGGCAGAGGCACCGGGAGCTGGCGAATGCAAGGCCGGGAGTGATGGGGAAGTGGGGAAACGCACACTGAGATGCCCCAGAAACGCCTGTTCTCCTCTGCAGCCCTAGCAAAACAACCACAGCACCACTTCTGCTCGGCTGGGGAGCGCGTTCATTGCTAGAGTTAAACATTAATTGCAGATGATGTTACGTCCTCAAAAAGCATTAAAAAGATCACCTCCCTGTTCCCCGATGAGCAAAAATTTCTGCCTCCAGCCAAAAGATGTTAATAACACAACCACACACTGCAAACACCAGCAGCCCCCAGCCCAGGGTGGGACACAGCATTAGGGGGGACCAAGAAATCGCCAGCTTCCCTTGCCATATCCCCAAGACACAGTCAAAGGACATTGCTCAGCAAAAACAGCCAGCTGGGGGATTACTTTAGAAACAAACCTCTTTGAAAGCATCCTTAACCAGGGTGCCCCTCCTGGGGGCAGATGAACCCTGCATCTTGATGATGTGAAACCAATGCACCCCTCCAAAGTTACACTCAGTGTAACACCGTGATGCTGATCCTGTCCTGCCAGGGACTCTGTTCAGCAGCACCCAGTGCATGGCCCAGCTCCGTCACAGGGCTGGAGCTCCCCCCAAAACGCTCAGGTTGATCTCTATAGGATTAGGGCAGTTAATGCTACCCTGTCGTCACAGGCAGCAAAGCTTGGCTTCTTCCCGCACAGTGGATATGAACCCCACCTCGGTGCTGCTGGTGCACCAGGCGCTCTTCAACTTCAGGGATGTTTTTCCCCACCCCAGGAGCATTTTCTAAGCCCCTGACATCAAGAAGAAAAACAATAATCAGACTCATGCCAACTTGCAAAACTGATCATTACAAACCCAAAGCTCCAGGGGGACGAGGTGAGGCCATGGAGAAAGAAGAGGACATGGATTACCCCACATCTGCCTTAGGTACCCTCGTCTCCAGGAGGGAGCACCGGCCAGGTGTGGGGAGCACTGCCTGTCCCTCGCGCTCAAGTCACCGCGCTCTCCGCTCTGCAACAAAAGGCTCTGCTTCCCTTTGCAGCGAGAGGTGCCCTCCACACCAGGCACACGCTTGAACAGAGAGCTTCAGAAGACGGAGTGTGAAGGGCAGGGAGAGAACGGGGTCACCCTGCTCGGCTGCGGTGCGCATGGGTGCCTGGGGGTAGAGATGAAAGAAGGGACCCCAGCCCCCAGGATCCTCCTTTGAGTGGAGCCTGCTCAGGGCTCCAGCCCCGTCCTCTCCTCCACCAACACCAGTGGGGCTGGCTCAGGCCTGGCCTGGACACTGGGGGCAAACACAGAAAACATGGAAGGACACAAAAATGCAGTTTCTGAACAAAAAAAACCCCAAAACACCAAAAAACCCAAACTGGGGCACAGACTCTTGGTTGCTCTGCTGTTTCCATCACCAACGTGTGTAGCACAGAGACTTTAACTTCACAACGCAACCTAAAAAATCCAACAAAATGGGAAAGGAAGAGGGGAAGGCAAGGGAAGAAGGAGGGAGTGATGTGGGACAGAGGTGTACAGAGCTCACCCCTCGAGTCTGCAGTGCCAGGGGTGGATTTACACAAGACCTCACCTCCCTCTCGGGTTGGAGCCCCCTCAGCACTCCCACCCCAGCACTGCGTTTGCAGCCTCACAACACACCAGGCACCGCTGAGGATCTGGTCCAGGGGACACCAGGAAACCAGAGCGTTCAGTGCGCTCCTGCAAAGGTGCACAGGGCTGGCACGGAGAGCATCAGCTGCTGCCAGGGCTGTCCCTGCTCGAGGAACCTCTGCCAACACCACGGCAGCACTTTCTGAGCCAGGGCGCTCCTTCCACCCAAACCCCAGTCCCACTCGTGCAAGCACGCGGTAAAAAGCCGTGTTCTTCTGAAGCAGAGCTTGTAATCACAACCCAGCAAAGTCCAAGCATGAGCTACCAGAGAGCAGGAGCCCATCGTGAGCCTGAGCATGGGCTGAACACCGCGTCTGCACGGGGAGCTGCTCTTCCCACAGCTCCGGCTTTGAACCTCCCGGCAAGGACCGCACGCCAAACCCATGTCTCCAGTGCAGAGCACCACAGGCAGCCATTGCATCTCTACATCGCTCAGGGTAACTCGCGATGGCAAACTTTCTTTTTCCTTGAAATCTCACACGAGTGGGAATTGCAGAGCCAGTTCTGGCAGCCCAGGCTCGCAGCAAGTTACAGAAGGGACAGATGCCCCCATTATCCCTTGTCCTCCCAGGGCTCTGGCTGGGCCAAGAGAGCACCCAGCATTCAGCAGCTTCTCTGGTGAGAGGAACCAAACCGTTATTTAGGTCCCACCACCCACTTCTGCCGCAGAATCCAGTAAATACACTGCCTTCCCTCACAAGTCCATCATTCAGAACAATACATATTTTAGTTGATAGTGAGCAGTAAAGTCTATGTTCCTCAGACATCAGAAGTTAAACACGGCTTGCAGCCAGACCTTGGCTCGGCCGGCAGGCAGGTGATGCTTTGGGACCCACCACCAGCAGCTCTCCATCTCCTACCCAGGAGAGACGACCTGTCTAGCGCTCCCTGCCCAGCACCAGGCCCAGCACAGTGCAATTTATAAACCAACAGCACAGCCAAGAAGTAGAAATC